GCACAACCACCCACCCACTCCACCAATCCCACAGCCCCACCTCGAGGCACTTGAGCGGGGATGGCACGCCCCAGCCACAAGTGGAGTCCATCAAATCCATCAGATCCCACCTGGAGATGGTTGACGTTGGCGCATCAAGGGGCAACGTCGTGGGTCAGTGGTGGTGGTAATTGTTGAATTGTGCAAAGGCAATCACTGAGCCACAGGCACAGGAACCGGCGGCGTGCGCCTTGAATAGAGAAAACGCAACGCACCAATTTCTGTTGCTGGGCACAACAAACCCTGGCAGATACAGACACAAGCATCCACGCCAGAGAGGCCTGAACATCTTGACGCGCAGCCACGAGTGATGGGCCAAAACCCTGCGGCACACCCCAGTTCACCTGATCAGCATCTCCAGGTCGGCGTCTGCGCACGCCGCCCCCGTCGACGCGTTGAAGTGGCGCCGCCGCTGCTGCAGCCCGCACAGCGCCGCCAGGCACCCCGCGTCGCACAGCGTCGACTGTGTGGTCCGCACCATCCAGTAGTTGTCGGACCGGAAGACGGACGGGCACGCGGGCGCGATGACGTCATCGACGCAGAGCTGGCCGTACTGGGCGTCGCAGTACGCCGAGAGCGACGGCGCCGGCGCAGGCGACGCGGCGAGGGCAGTTGCGAAGTCCTGGCTGGCGTTTAGGAGGTCGAACGCTGTTGACAAAGCGGACTTCTCTGCATCCGTGTCGTTGACGCAGGCAGAGATGTTTGCCAGAGCCGCGCGCGCGCCGCACAGCGCGTCCACGCAGGCCGGCGCCGCCCACGGCGCGTAGGCGTCGGCGGCCGCGCCGGCGCCCGGCGGCGCGCCGGCGGGGCAGGCGCGGCGGACGCCTTGGGAGCACGTCAGCGGCTGGCAGGCGCCCCACGCCCCCGACGTGGCGTCTGTGAAGCACCAGGGGTCCTGGCCGCCCACGATCGCATAATCTGTCATGTTGTATGTGAGGCAGTCGTAGACCGGCACCCCCGAGTAGCTGACGGGAAGCTGGCAGGCGGCCCCCGTGTCTGTCACGCGGCCGGGCTTGGGGGCGCAAATGTCAAATGCGTAGCCGTCGAGGTGCTTTGCATACGGGCAGGTGGCCGGGTCGACGTAGCACCAAGTGGTGTTGGAATCAATCAGGGGGCTCGAGCGGTCGGCGGGCAGGCCTGCAGGGGCCGCGCGGCACGCGACGTTGTGTGACCGCCGTCACAGCGAGAGGAACAGCAGGAGAGAACCTCCAAGATGGCTGCGGCTGGGAACGTCCCACAAACAAAACCAAGCGCCTGCATGACAGCACGGCTGAAACTTTGCGGGACCCATGTGCCTGAGCGCTCCCAAGGTGAGCTGGGGTGCACCGCGCCCGAGGAACCGTGGAAACAGCGCCCGTCGCCACAAGTGTGAACAACCCACCTGTCCTGCAGGTGCCGTTGTAGGTGACCCCACCAAAGCTCCAGGTGTTGGAGCAGAAGCAGCCCTGCTGCGTCACGGCCTGGCAGTAGTCAAAGTCAACGGGGCTGTCGTACAGCCCGTGGGCTCGCGCCGCGCTGGGGCAGGAGGCGGTGTCGACGAGGCACCAGGCGCCGAATGGGTCTGCGGGAACAAATGTGCAGGGCACGGAAGCATGGGTGTTCAGGTCGTGAGCGATGCGTTTCGAGCTCTTTGGCAGTTGAGCAGGCTGTGCCGTGGTGGGTTCTGATGATAGATCCCCCACTGGAACAACAGCCCACCCTACTCAAAATGCGAGCCCCTGCAGGACCCCATGCTGCAAAAATCACTTTGAAATCTTCGCATGCAAGCAGAGAAAGCCAAACTTAACCCTCAACTCCATCGTTGTGAGGGTGTTTTCACCTCCACCCCAAACCCCACCGTTGTCGGCACTGGTGCACGTCCCGTAGTACACCTTGTCCTGAAAGCGGTACGCGCGGGAACACTTGCAGCCGGACAGCGTCGTGGCCTGGGGGCAGTAGTCCCAGTCGGTGCCGGCTGTTTGGGCGCCTTGCGGGCAGCTGTTGGGCTCGAAGACGCACCAGGCGCCGCTGCGTGGGAGAGGTTGAGAGGGAGGGAACGATGAACAACGCCCGGATTGCTGCACGGCTCTTGTTGAGACATCGGGGCGGCGGTCAAAGTTTGGACGATGAGCTACCTGTTGCACAGCTGCTCACCCCAACCCCGTTGCTGCCTCGCTCCCTGCTGCGGTCCCCTGCAAAAGCAGGCGGCTCGCGTGCGTGCCGGCGTGAACGCGCACCCAGGGGCGTTTGTGGGGTTGATGCACGTGCCCGGAACGAGGATGGACGTGCCGTTAGCATAGGTGTAGGGCCACAGCTGGGAGCACTGGCAGCCGGCCTTGGTGTGCTGCGCTGGCTGGAAGAGGCCGGCCAGAGAGGCCGAGGAGCCGTCCAGGGCGTCCACGACTAATCGCGTCATCAGGTCCTGCGCGATTACACGCAGTGGTTTTGGAGGGGTGAGGGATGAGTGACGTTTGGTGGTTTGCGTCGTGTCAGTGGGAAGTCGCAGATGGGAAGAGGATACCAGCCATTCAAAACATCAAACAGGCTCGCTGCAGCGGCGCCAACCAACAAAAACTGCAACAGCTGGGCGTAATAAAACCCTGAATCACGCTCATGAGCCACGTACCCAGGCGGATTAGGCAGGATTTCGGGTCCAAATGCAATGAACAATGTTCCAACGAGACACTGGGTATGGTGCAAAATGCCTGTGTGATTGCGAGCGGTCAACAGTGACGGCGGTAAAACACATCCACATCCGCCACTCACCTTCGTCAGGTCAAGGCCCAGCACGTCCGCCGCCTGCTGCACGTTGAAGGCCGCGACGTCGATGGTCCCGCCGTAGCCCCACTTGAGGCAGGAGGAGTAGCCGAAGGAGCTGCCGCTCATTGCTTGGCCTGGGGCGGTGGGGGGTGGCGCCGCAAGGGGTCATCGGTTGGCGGGTAGCGAGATGATCAAGGGGGCTGGGTGCTGTCTGGCAGTCAGCGATCCCTTCTTATCAAGTGCCCCGCAAAGATATTGGGATCAAAGCAGGTGACATGAACCAAACAGCTATCAAAACGCCAAGCGGCGAGGCGCCCCTTCGTTGGCATGCTGCACGGCGCATTTGTCAGGGGCGGCGCGTGCCAACTCATATTGGTGTGTTTTTGGCCGGCGGCGGGCGCACCTGTAGAGCTGACCCAGACCTTGCCTAGCTTTGGGATGACGACGCCGCCCTGCTGCGCGGACACCTCGCCCCACGTGCCGGTCGCGTCGTCTGAGGGTTGCAGGTTGCAAAAGCGGGGTTGACAATGTGGTTGCCAGCGGCAAACAGCGGCAGGCCTGCGTCAAAGGAGGTGCTGCTCCACAAGCGCACATGCAACGCTAGCCAGTTCAGCACAGCTGCCGTCCTGGTCGCGCCTGTGTGGCAAAGCGTCGTACCGCGCCACATTCAGAACGGCCCCACACCCAGCAGAGGACCCAGCAAAAGCAGTTTCCAATCCGTCACACCCCAATTCCACAGCATCCCACCTCTACCCATGCCAAATAAGGAATCGTCCGGCCCTCCCCCAGCCCCGCCCCGTACGCTTGCCCTGGAAAAAAGTGAGCGCTCACTGGTGCTGGTGACAAACAGGCGCATGCTGCTCTTCCCAGTGGTTGCGTTGAGGGAGTACTTGATCATGCCAACTCGCAGGTCCTTCACAGCCGACTGGCAGCTTCCAGCATAAAAGACCTGGAAGGTTGCAGCAGAGCGGGGGTTGTTAGTGGTGATTTGTCTACAGGGCGACTGGAACAGAAGATTTGGCAATGAGCGCCCCATCCTAGCGGCGATGAACGCTCCTCGTCTGTTGCCTGCATGTTGACCCACACCGGCTGCGCACTTGGTTGCCTCGCCCACGGCCCGATGTCCAGGGACGCTGCGGGCTAACAATGACAACGACAACACAGCGATACACCTAAGCGCGCACGCAGGCATGCGCACCAGCACCAGCACATGCATGTGCATGCGCACACACGCGTGCGCTCACGACTGCACACGACTGCACACACACAACCACACACGCACACACACACACACACACACACACACACACACACACACACACACACACACACGCGCGCGCGCGCGCGCTCACACATACACACACACACACACACACACTCACACGCGCGAGCATGCGCGCACACCTGGACCTGCAGGTTCATGGCAGCCAGCGACCCGTCCGCCGCGTACTGCCTGTCCTCGTCAGCATAGGCAAGGGACAGCGCGTCCACATCAGAATCGCTGGTGTTCAGGTCCTGGTTTTGGTTGAATTGATTGGACAAGGGGCAAAGGTGAGAAGAACAGTACCTAGGCCACAGGCATCCCAGGGTGCTGCTGGACATGCAAAAAACAATGTGGCACCAAGTCACTGCTCGCTCAGAATCCGTCTCAGCTGTCTCTTGGGCAGCTGCGACCCCCTCGCGCAGGCCATGCTGTGGCAAAGGCGGTGCGCTGGTCATTTCTTTGCACACGCCGCAGCTGGTGACCAGCAGGGGCGAGTTGTCCAACACAAACACACCCACTGAAGCGGTCTAGAGTCCCTCAACCCCGCGGGAGGAAGCATGGTCCGCACCCCGCCCCTCGACCCTTACCCCAACCCCCCAGCCCGCCTCGCGTCTGCCTGTTACGCACCCACCTGCACCAGGCCGAACAGGTACCCCGTCCACGCCCCGCTCGCCGCCGCTTCAGACACCGCGCCGCCGACCGACCCCGCCATCACCCTGCCGGCGCCGTCAGGAGAGGAGAAGCCGTACATGAGGGTGGCCGTCAGCCCCAGCGGGGCCGTGATGGAGCCGTGCGTGACCCAGGCGCGCGCGGGGTGGGACCAATAGGGGACGGCAAAGGGCTCCACGAACTGGAAGTCGACACCTGGTTGTCAGATCAGGTATATGCATGGGAGGTGGGGTCAAATGTGTTCAGTGAGGGGGCCGGGCAGAGGCGGGCATAAGCTCGCCACGTTTGAAAGGGGCTGCGGCGGTCTCATCATCAAGCCGCACTCACAAGCCCCTGAAATCGCACCCATGCGCCCTGTCGCGCGACCCACCTCCAGCATTGGAGGCTATCGCGTCTCCGAGGTTGTAGATCGCCCCGAGGAAGCGATCCCAGTCTGCCATGGCCGAGGGGAACGCCGCGGCGAATTTCGCATAGTATGGGTCGTAGGCGACGCGGGTTGCAGGGAAGTAGATCGCCATGCCGGTGCCCTGTGGTTGCGCAGGGGTTGAGTATTAGATTGGGCGAGCTTGGAGGTTGGGGTATGGAGGGGTTGGAGTGCGAAAGGCTGATGATAAGCAGGTGGCCGCGCTCAACGCCTTTATATCAGATGATCTGGGAGGGTTTTGATCAGCATGCCAGGCTGCGTGCGTCGAGCCGGCGCTCGCACTGGTTGCAGCGGCCTCGGGCATGACCGCCCAACCCTCGACGCCAATCATCATCCAGGCCGCCCAGAGCATGCGGCCTGCCATGCAAAGGGAATTCAACACGTGTTGAACGCTGCAAAATGCATGGCAGGAGGCTCATTCACTGGTGTGCGTCGTTTTGTTTTGCTCACGTCTGGGAGCTCGCTATCCCTCAGAGAGTAGACCACCGCCGCCGCGTACGACGCCTGCGCCGCGCTGACAAGCGACAGCACGCCCACAGACTTGGAGCGCGAGAAGAGGCCCGCCAGGCGACCGAGCAGCGCCCCGAGGTCGACGTTCTCTTCGGCGCCGGCGATTGCGCCGAGGCGCGTGCGCTGCTGCAGCAGCGCCAGCCCCGTGGCTGCGCCAATAAGCAGGCAAGGGGGCAGAGCATGAGAAACAATGGGCTACATCCAAGCGTTGAGCTCTCAGGCCCTATGGTGCGCCGCTCCCAAGGAAAAAACCTTGAACGTGTTAGTTTTATGCAAACGACACAAGGCGTCCCCCTTCTGTCCAGAGCGGCAAACCCGTATCCCCCCTGGTGGTGCATGTTTGAGAGAGCCGTCGCAGGGCAGGGCACAGCACTGCCTGACCCACTATTGCCGCTGGCGCCCTGCAGGAGGGCAGTCATAGAGCGCGCGAGCGCCGTCAGGTCCGACTCCAGCTGCGCGGCCGCGGCCAGGTCGACCAGGGACAGCGCCAGCCCCACGCTGCCCATCTGGAGCAAAGGGCGAGGTGGCGTGAGGGCCCGCGGCGCGGTGACATCAGATGCCGGCGCGTTCAGGGAGGCGCAGAATGCGCATGCAAAAACTCTGGCAGACAAAGACCTGGGCGGCGTGAGGCTGGAGAGGCGTCTCGCAGCCTCAACGCACCCCCATCCGGCTCGCCCGCCCAGCGCCCGCTCCCGTGAGCGCGCGCGGAGAGCGCACCTGCACCGACGTCTGCATGTAGGTGCGAACCACCATCTGCCCCAGGTCGGCAGCTTCCACTACCACCCCCGCCGCCGCCGACGCCGTCACGTTTCCCAAGACTTTGTAGTCCCACCCGGACCCCGGCTCCAGCAGCTCCGACCCGAGCAGGAATTTGCTGTACGGCGCGAGCGCCGCCGCAACCTCGTACATCGCCATGAGGCATGCGTCGAAGCCGATGATGTCGAGCTTGTACGAGGTTTGGGAGCCGGGCGGGTAGATCAGCCCCTTGGACAGCCCTTTTGTTGAGGTGGGGAGGGGGCGGGGGGCGCAGCGAGTTCGCTTTGACGGTGGTCGCAAACAGCACAAGGGGGCCAAGCTTGCCAGAGAAGAAACAGCCCGGAGGTTACTTTCGGTGACGCGCGACTCGCAAAGCAGTGGGCCATTTTCTCTCTTTGGGCGGTGCACTATTCCCCTACCTGCCTGTCTGCTACACAGGCAGCCTCCCCTCCGCACCACCCGCCACGCAAGCGGCACCCCCGGGCGCCCTGCATTATGCAACTGGCCCAAGGCGTGTTGTCCCGGCTCACCCTGCACGATGGTGCCCATAGTCATCATGTCGCAGGCTTTGTCAGAGTACGCCTTGAGGGGGCTGCAGGTGTGGTCGATGCCGTACCCATACCACCCGCTGCCGTGGTTCCAAAACACTAGCGCATGGCGCCGGTCGGCGGCCGGCGGGAACGCGGCAAGGCCGCTCTGGAGGAAGGCGTTGAGGGTGTCCGAGGTTGACATGTCGAGCTCGGCGTACGAGGTTCGCTGCACCCACTTGCCGCCTTCGTGAGCAAAGGGGTGTCAGCGGGCGGCCGGGATCGCCAGTTTTGGGGCACGGGCAATGAGGATCAGAATGTGTGGGGATTGAAGGATTTGGCATGGTGAGTGCTGGCAGGTGCAGTGTCCGCCTCTGCCAGAGCCGCAGCTTGCTTGCGCAGACCTTGCAGTCTGCCACAGCACTGATCGTAGCTGGCTCCTGATGACAGATGGTGCCGCCACCTCCACCTCCACTGCCGGTGCCTTCGCCGCCACTGCCGCCCGCTGCCGTCGCTACCGTTGCCGCAGCTGCTGAGCGCTTGCATTGTGCGCCACTGACCCCTATCTATGCAATTCGCATGTACATGCAATGTTTACATCCAAATTTTACATGCAGCAGTGCATGCCGGGTTCAGGCGCCAGTTGCCGACCAATAGCCCCCGCCACACCTGGCAGCAGCTGCAGCTCCCGCACGTTTGACCAGCTACTGGTCAGCAAGCTGGTGTCCAGGCCCGCCGCGTTGGACTGGTCAACGAAGCAGGACGACGCGCCGCGGTCGACCCACAGGAAGACATCGGGGTAGTACGCCGCGGGGCAGCAGCGCAGGCTGCTGCTGCCGTCGCTGCACGCTGACGAGGACACCGCCGCAAGCCCGTCGCCGCACGCGGCGCCGCATGCGGCCGTGGTGCAGCCGGTGGCGGGCTCGCGGGCCATGCCGCGCATGAGCTCCTGCAGGCGCATGCACATGCATGCGTCATCACACAGTGCCAATATGTGAACCAGCATGCACGCAGGCATGCATGGCGCCCGTGCGTACGTGGGCAAATCAGCAGCAGCAGCAGCAGCCTCAGGAGGCAGCGAGATCAGCTGCAATGCATGTAAGCCATACCGCTCACCGCCATGTCGTCGATAGCGAAGCACTCCAAGTCGTTGTCGGCAAGCATGTAGATGAAGAACGTCCACTTGGGAGACGCCGCCGCAGCGGCGCAGATCATTGCCAGGAGCGCCGCGATCGCCAGCGGCACCGGGGCGCAGCGCGCACGTCGGCCGCTCGCGGCTGGCGCCATGGCCACGCTGTGCTGGGGTGTGTGCAGCGCTGCCAGTGCTGCGCCTGCAGCGGCAGCGCGCCCGGGTCCGGCCGCCGCAGCGCGGCCGATCTTGGAATAACACAATATCCTGCATGTTCAATGCGGCATGATTTTGCAATCGCGGCATGTAAAAAAATCATATATGCTGATCATCCGGGTGGTCAGCCATGCGAGCGGCATCAGACGCGCCGATGTCGTGTTACAATCAAGTATGGTGCCTCCAGTAGCTTCTTTTTGCATAACATCGCTCCTGCAGCCTCGTTGACCGGTCTGGTCTCACACCTGTCGCGACACTTTGCTCCGTTGGCCCGTCAGAGTACTATAATGCAGCGTTACATCCACAATATCAGCGCTTATGCTGGTTTGGTGAGCGCGCAGACGCCTGCAGATGGTCACCTGGCAGGAGGCGGATCACCAGACAGCTGCATCTGCTGCGCTGACGATTGCGCCCAAACAAACCGGCCGGTCGAGGCGACAGATTACTTGCCGCATGCATACACCACACTTGACGGTCATCCAAAATGAACATGTCTTGCACGTACGTCCCACAGCGCTGTCGCGTGACAATCACAAACAATCAACACGACACAGGACTCACGTGGCACAAGCACTCGGGGTTCCCTCAGGATATAGCAAAGGTCAACAAAGGTCAACGAGGCACAACAAACTCACACCACTCTCTGACTTTTAAATTTGAAGGTCTAAAGACTCCGCGCGGGGCGGCACGATTTGGACCGAGTCGCGCGGCACCAGCACAGCACGCAGGCGTTCGCAATTGCGTCACGCCGTCAGGGGCCAGGCAGATGGCGTAGCACGAGTGCAGGAGCCTGGAAAACAGGCGCACGAATACAGTGCACCAGATCACTGACCAAAAACAAGGTGCACACGTGACACTTTGGTGGACCGCCTGTTGCGCTGTGGTGCGCAACAATGCCGTGAGTCGGGTGTGTGCACAGCCTCTCAGACTTGCCTCTCCAGCCTCTCTGTCGACTCAGTGTCCGCATGCGTTTCCTGTCGCAGGAGTACACCCATCCGCCAACCTGACGCTCAAAAATCAAACTTCAAGGATCACAGCTCCTTTCCGTCAATGAATGAAAACTCCAGCCGCATTCGGGAAACGTAGCAGCGCGCACCCGTACAATTTGCGGCCACGGCCTTGTTTTGCGGGATGCAGCCGGGTCGCGCGGCCGGGCGGCGCTCAGCCGGACACAATGGCGACGATGGCGTCACGCACGAGGGGGGAGCTCATCAGCACTGTGCTCGTGATGCCCACCAGGGCGTAGCTCAGGGCGCAGTAAGGGAGCGCCTCCGGCTCCTTGGACGTGAGGCTGGCGGTACCCAGGCCGCCGGCAGTGGCGGCCGCGGACAGACCCCTAGGGGTTTGGCAGATGTCATGCGTGGAAGAACGCGCAGAGCAGGCGATGAAATTTTGGGCCGGGCAACAGGAGCACGGTCGTTGCGCCGCCACAGGACCTGCTGCTGCCGCCCCCCTTTTCGCGCAGTTATGGAGCTTCAGTCGTGTAGCTGGCAATAACAATCGGGACTCTGCGGGATGGCTCAAACGCCAGGCACAAGGTTCAGTCAGGCCTGCTGACTCATCACAGCGCATGCCTGGCAACAATCGTCCCCACGCACCTAGCAATGGTGTCCTTGATGCCGGCCTGCGTCATAAGGCTTGGCCCAAAATTGGCGCCCTGGGTTTCAAGGTAGGAATGGGGAGGTGACAGCAGGAGTGGGCCGAAGCCAACCAGGATCCCACAGCCTTCATCCCCACACAAATGTGGGGTGGGTTGACGCATCAACACCGAGCCTTGGCGCCAATCAAACAACCCACGAGGAGCCCCCGGCCTGGCGGATAGCCCGAATCAGCAGCAATCTACTGTGTTGCCCGCATATCGTTAAGAATCACAAACAAACTCTAGCAACCCACCAGGATGCCCTGTAGCAGGACAGCAGCTGCCGTAATGGACAGTGGCGCGTCCAGCTGCTGCGCGATGGGCACGGCCAGCGCCACTGTCACGCTACGCGGGATGAGCGCCAACGCAAGGCCTGGGACCGGGCGGGGCGGGGCAGGGGGCGCGGCAGGGCGTGCCGCCAACGATGAGGGTGGCGGGGGCGGTGCAAAAAGGCGTATGGCGGGTGACCCACTTGCATGACTGATGAGTGACTACGCCGCCCAAAAAAATGCCGTCAATGAGGCCAGGCGAGCGTATGCCAACACTTATGCCATCACCACCAGACAAAGGCAGCCTGCGACACCGCGCCGAGTCAACAGAAGCCGCGGCCCGCCTAGGCCGTGGCGTGGGACACAACCCGAGCCTTCCCCTGAACCCCCTGCTCACCCTGCGAGAGGCCCAGGGCCTTGGCGCCCAGCGCCGTGCTGAACAGGCTGAATGCGCTGCTGAGGGTGGTGGCGCCCGCGATTTCGGGGAAGTGGCGCTTCATGGTGTCGCGCTGCGCATAGACCCGGAAGCCGAATGAGATGATGACGACGCCCAGGAATGACATCAGCAGGTCGCCCGCGCCCATGGGGCCGGCGCCCTGGATGTGGGGCCGGGGGGGGGGGGCGGTATTAGTGAGCGACGCAAGCGAGGGAGGGCCAAATCTTCGTGCACCGAACATCCTCAAGGTGGGCAAGCCAGCAAGGGGGTTGGAGGGCTGGTGGGGGATGAGGGCGTGGGTTTGAGAAGGCCTGAATCTGTAAGCTGCACATGCTGCGGCCTGAAACATGGCAGGAGGGCAAAACGGTGTTGACCGAAGCGCTGTGCCGTGCCAAGCCTCGGCTTCGCCACTTGATGCCTTGCCAGGTTGTCACCGCACAGAGTTCAACTCCCATGACCTCGAAAGCCTCAACGTCAACAGAGCTGCATGCTGAACGAATACGAGCGCTTCCTCGGACAGCAATAAACAGATGTTGACCGACTTGCGCAGGTCATTTGAAATAAAACCGCCGAGCCCCACGCACGCACCTTAGCCAGGTATGCCTGCTGCGCCGCCTCATAGCTCATGCCCACCAGCGCCCCGTGCGCGGCGATGCCCGCGTTTGCCACCGCCGCCGTGACCACCACCGGGTGCAGCGCCCCGTGCAGCCTCGAGGGCACCAGGCCGCCTACGAGGTAGCCTCCAATGGTGGCCGCCAGCCCAAACGGCAGCGCGGCGGCGGCGGCCGCGTCGGCGTCGCCGAGGGCGGTGACCGCGAGGGAGCCGGCGGCGAGGGCGCCCCAGGCGGCGAAGTGTGAGGCCTCGAAGGGCTTGTAAGGCTGCAGGTGAAGATGGGATGGGAGGCGTCAAGACAGCGAAAGCAAACGAGATGAGACAGCAGGTGAAAGACGAGGTGCCAGAGTGGTGGGACGCGCCATGTTGAAAGGCCATGCCGTGATGGGCATGCTGGTTGCTGGTTTGGGGCCCGGCAGCTGTTGCGCAGCCCCAGCCGCCTGCGTCTTCTGTCTCGAAGGACTCTCCGTTTGATCAAGCCCAGCCCAGCCGCTGCAGTGTACAAGCGCAGCTTGCGTGCAGCAGTGTCAAGGACGGGTTGCGCACCTTGCCCTTCGCAATGGGGATGACCGGGGTCTTGACCGCTTCTCGGATCGCGACAGTGATCTGGGCCGTGAACAGCAAGGTGGCCGTCATGCCGACAGCCAGCAGCCCCACGATGCGCACAAGGTCAGCGCCTGCGGCGGCCGGTTGCAGGGGATGGGCCAGCAGGGGGTTAAGGCGCGGATACATGGGATTGGGACGGTTGCGAGCAGACATGTCGATGGCAAATGGACTTGGGCAGCTGCCCGCGGTGACGCAAGCGAGGGCAACGGTGGGATGGTTGATGCTTGTGCAGGCAACAAGGTCATAGCGCCATGGTAAGGGACACTTCCATGCGTCTGCGGCCAAGCCGCGAAGCAACCCGCGGGTCGCTTTGCGGCGCAGTGCCTCCTGCCACGCACCATCCACGCCTTGTAGCCCCAGGGGCAGCGTCACCAGCGATGGCACTGCGGGTTAGGTACAAGATGGCACGCTGATCCATGAATATGTTGATTCATGAAGTTGCTGCTTGTGATGCGAACGTCAGGTTTAGGGTACAGGAGCAAGCATGCAGTGGTGTATGCGACACGCGGGAGTCAACAGGTCTGGTGCAGCAGCATGCCAACAGAAACTCCTCCACTGCTCGGCAACCCGTTGCGTCTGGACAGGGGCAGTGCAGCCAGCAATGCAGCCCACCGTAGAAGATGGGCAGCCACCGCGCGATCCACGTCAGCGCAGGCCCGTAAAACTCTGTCAGCTTCTCAGATGACTCGTCGTCCAGCGCTGCCAGCAGCCCCACCACCAGGAACATGCCCACCAGGGAGCTGGGGAAGGCCACGCCAGCCTGCATGTGATGCGGATTCAATACACAGAAGTGATAAGGTCGCCAGAGCCGAGCACGACTTTAACCCGTAAACACGACTGCTGGGCTTGGTTTGACTGCCGAGAAGCTTCACGGGTCCGGCCGTGGCTGCTTCAGTCATCCCAGCAGATCGCATGCGTCAGGCAGCGGCTCTCTCACGCAGCGGCCGCATGCCCCGCATGGCTGCGGGTGGCATTTCCTGTCGGCTTCATCAGTCCACAACCGCATGTGGAGTCGTTGAACAGCCCACCTGCACCAAGCCACTCTTGATGGCCAGGTTGAGGCCATACAAGGACCCCAGCCCGGCCCACAGCTGCGCGTACTCCGCAGCCGCCCCTCCCAACACCTCTGGAAGCCCGGCCGGCGCCGCCGGCTGCACGCCAGGCGCCTCTGCAGACACAACAGCCGCTGCCATGTCCTGCATGGCAAGCGACGTGTCATCGCGTCATTTGCCTGGTCGGCTGCAGTAAAGGGCCAGCCCACTGCGTAGTGGGCTGGTATACAGTTATGCAGGCAAAGCGGCTAGCTTTCGGCTAGCAAAGCGGGCTCCAGGCATACCGCTTCAAGGGCGTCGTCTTTGGACAACTGCCTCTCCTTGGCTGCTGGCGGCAGCGTGGCCGTTTCCACGGAGCCTGGCAATATGACAACATCGGCATGTAGTGGTCGTTCATTGGGATTTGATTCATTACCGAGCAAGCAACACCCAGGGCGGAGTGGTTTGGGCTTGGCATGATGTAGGTGGGTTGATGCGCGTGCGCTGGCTGTCAGCGCCCGCATGGCTACTGCTGCACCGCAAGAGCACTGCGCCAAACAACACAATAAGCGAGCAAGACCACTTTACTGTGCACCAAGCCCAACGCCGCAGGCAAGAGGTAGCACTTCAGGCGCGTGGTAGCACGTGGGGCCTCACCTCTGCCGCTGCGCGTCAGTACCACTGAGCGGCGCGTCCTGCTCCACCCAGCGGCTGACCAGCCATGGTTGCGCGCCAATTTAGCGCTCGAGTGAGCCTTTTGCATATCTTCCCGAAGGCGAGCCTTTGGCTCTGTTGGCCGAGACGGCCTCCTCTATGGTCTGCCGCGCGACGACACCGCGGGGATCGCTGCCGACGATGCTTAAATGGTCACATGTACTCCCAATTGTTTCGCTGCATGCACATTGACCATGGGCATCCTGTCGTCACCCGCTTGGCGCGTGCATTGTCACCGGGTGCGATCTGCGCCAGGGCCGGGCACCAGGTCCAAGTGGCGCACCTGGCAGTGCTCGATAACGTCTCGAGACATTCTCTGCAATTGTAGTGGCACCCGGCATAAAGGTCGGCCCTGCAGGCAGCCCCAGGTGGGGTTGACTTTCGCCCGCTGCGGTCAAGCGATGGTGCAAACGAAGCGCTTTTTGCGACAGGGATCTGCCGCAGAACGTGCAATTGGTTGAGCAGGTCATGAATGTTGAATGCATGGTTCCTGTATCATGGACGTTGCTCCACAGCCCGCATGCCGAACCCTTCTCCCGAGCCCTGGCTTTTGTTGGTCATCGAGTAAATGTCCAATGTGTGCACTTCAACAAGGATGAGACTTCACTTTGAAGCTGATGCGGGATCGTTGTGCGATGCGCCACGGGTGAAGCCGTGGTGCCGCCGCAGCCGCTTCTGCTGCCACGCTGTGCTGTGCTGTGCTGTGCCATGCCATGCTGTGCACCGTGCATATACCATTTGGTCGCCATGTCAGCAAGCCAAAGTCAAACACCTCCTCGTTGCTCCTCGCAGCGATGCCAACCACGAGGTGCGATGCTGGAGTTGCAGGAGCGCCGGCCGGCGCTGTGACGCAGGTGTGCTTTTTCCGGTTCTCCATTTCTAGCAGTGTGACACGGGCGCTGTTCGTGCACATTCCTGTGCTGAAGGCAGCAAAACATGGCTCCATGTCTCATCCGGGAGCACCCCTGCAATGTGGACAGGCTCCATGAGGCCAACGCAGGAGTTCTGCAGCTGAGGGTGGCGCAGCTGCCCGGCGCGACCCTCGTCTAGTGAGTGGCAGGGGTGCGGCCAGCTGGCAAGAAAGGGCGGCCGTCAAACACCTCTGGCGAAGGGGGACTCAGTACCCTGTCCAGCCGCCAGCGTCGTTGCTTGCGAGCGCGCAGGCCGGTGCCAGGCCCCTGCTGTGCCGCCCTCGACGCTCGTGTTGTGCTGGTCCCTGCACCTCCCGGGCATCGCGAACCCAGCTGGCCCCCCTGGAGGTCCTGGGCTGCCGGGCCCTGCCCAGCGCAGGCATCAGCAATGTGGCAATCAAGCGCGACGCCGGCTTTGCCGCGACGGCGCACTGAGACTGTCGCGTGCGGATGTGGCACGCGCGGAAGCGGGCGATGCTGGCGGTGCTGCGGTACCACTCAAAGACGGCGGCGGCGGTGGCGCTCGGGGGCGTGAGTGGGAGGCTGCTGGCGACGGGCGGCAGGCACGGCGGAGTGGCGGTGTGGTCGGTCTACGGTATGCTGCACCGCACGCAGGGGGGGGAGACGGGTGAACTGTTGTTTGCTTATATCCTGTTGCCGTGGCGGCGGCTCCGATTTTTTACATGCGGCATGTGTTGTGTTCGTTATGCATTTGGACAGTCCTGTTGTTTGAGCAGAGGTTGCTCGTTTTGAAACGCCTTGCCTCGTCTATGCCTCGTGGGACCCTCTGCGGTGCATGAATACAGGATATGACTGTTACACAGACCCCGCGATCGCCCGCTTCTGGAGCCATCCAGGCTCATGTGGTTTGACTTTGGATCAAGGATCATAATGCCGTAAAAGCATGTACGTCAGTAATTGCATGCAAGCATTTCTCAAAATCCACAGCTTGGCGGCTTTTCACCCTCAGCGCCAACGCGCATGCCTTTAGCCTTGGCTCTTGCGCGCCGTCAAGCGGCGCACAAACCTGGCCAGGCGGGCGCAACACGCGGCCCGTGCCCTGCCTGACCTGCGGTATGAGCCTGGTGGCCGTCCGCCCTCGGCGCCCACATGCGCTGCATGCCTACAGCTTGCACGGTGTGCGGCCTGCACGCGTTGACCAGGACTTAACCTGACACGCCATCAGTCAGCGAGCCGAGATGTCTTGTGTCTTTCCGCGCTAAAGCGCTTGTTGGAACTCGCTGTTGCGTGTGCCTGAAGAGACGGCATGCTTTTAACTTCAGCAACCCATTCCTGGCATGTGCCGACCTCAGCCACCCCCCTCGGCCAAGCTGGGTGCGGAGGCGGCGCCGCTGCCGCGCACGTCTCCGGTCTTGCAGAGCGCTCTGCGAGCGGCGGCGTCGTAGTCAGTGATGCCGTCGCCGAGGGTCTGCTGGTCAAAGTACCTCTTGAGCCACTGCAGTGCATAATGAAGCACACGAAAGAGCGAGAGAGCGGAGCTGTGCATTAGCAAGTAGCAACAGCAGGTTCACCTCATGCGTGGCGCCTAAGGCGCCGCTCTGCTGCCCGCTCGCATGGCCGGCTGCCGCTAATCCGCCACGCCAGCAAGCAGTACAGCAGCGTTCGGCGGGCCCAATCTAATCGCCTAACACAATGACGCAGCGAGCAGCAACAGCCAGGGGCCACACGCCCAGCACTCAACACATACAACACTAACACACAAGGACACAGGCACACACCTGCATGAACTCCATGCTATCCATCAGCCGCCCCTTGATCAACTTGGACACGTCTACGGGCTGCATGCCCACAGCGGCAACCACCGAGCGTGCAGCCGCGCAGAGGGTCAGGGGAGCCGGGGGCCATCACGCAGCGCTAGCCGACTCGCAGCGCTGGCGCACGATGCAGGATGCCCACCGTCCACTCATGTAAAAAAGCTGCCCTTTCTGCTGCCAGGGGTTTTGCTGCCAGGTCACGCAAGCCACGCTGGCGCGGCACCGTCTCTGTGGGTCCTGAATCGGGCGCTTTAGGGAACGCACCTTGTCAATGCCCAGGTTTGTGAAGACCTCCTGCAGCACCTTGTAGTTGGTGAGGCACTCATATTCAGTCTTGGCGTTGAAGTCCACCTGCACAATCAATCAGCAGCACTTGCCGTCATGGTGAGTAGAGTGTGCCCCGTGGCCGTTCCAGGGACAGAGGGCTCGCCAGGGGGCCAGGCTCGGCTTGCACACATGGGCCAACACATGCGCTGTGCACCGCAGTCGCAGTTGGAACCAAGCTGCTGTGGGATGTCGGAGTGCATGTGTTCCTGCTGGTGGCTGCAATCAGCCAATGGGTGTGTCCGAGGTGTCTCCGCAAAAGAGGCGGTCCCGCCGCTGGAGGCGCGGCTGCCGCAGTGTGCGTACCCTCTTCATAGGCACGACGCCTGGATGCAGTGCATCCATGATCTGGCAAGCAACGGCTCCAGAAGCGGTCTGGCGTGCAAACCAGAGGAAGTGAGAGGCTGCAGCGTAAGTGCTATGCTCCGCAGCAGTTGGGCAGTGCGCGCAGCTGTTAGTGACACAGTGAGCGCGACGATGCAATGCGCCCGGCCAAGGGTCCATCCCCATCTTCTCCCCTTTTGCACGGACCTCCTCCACTTTTTCGAGTAGCAGGTTCAGCGTCGAGTTGAGCCAACCCAACAGCTCTGTTCGCCCCGCCATTATTACGGTATCGTGCTTGACCCAAATCACGGTGTGTATGTGGCAAGCGTGTTGATTGGGTAGATAAGAACCGTTTGTGGCTGTGGCACGAGCCCCCACCGGCGGCAACTACCGAGAGCTGGACTGGGACCTGGACCCGATCAGCTCGGCACGTCCGGGACACCACCGCCGCTGCGATCCATTGCACTGCTGACATTGCACAGGGTGCGGCATTGCATTGCAAGCACCTGTGAATTGCCAATGTTCAGGCAAACCTGTTGTTGTCCATTGGAAGTCAAGCGCTGGTGTACGAGCGCAACACTCCGTTGTGATATGTGGACCACAGCAACAGCTGGCAACGAAGGTTTGTGCCGTGTACACCCAGTTCTTTCGTTGCATATGTGCTGTGCAAGTGGCAGATGAACTCGTGTACACTTTGACCTGTGCACATTGAAGCATGGAGGAGAGGGCTTGCAACAGCCCTTGATCAAAAGGCCAACCAACTGGCAACTGACGGCAGTGTGAAGGCGTGCGAGTCCCAGCTCAACTGGATGCTTGCAATGCAGGAAGGCAGAACGTGTTGCCAGATTGGGCAAGAAGGCGGGGATTAGCGAGCCGCGCACATGACGCCGCACAAACCAGCAAGATTCTCATTGGTCCAGGTGACCCCCATGCAAATCAGTACAGTAGCCGGCATATAGGAGCGTTCAGGTAGGACTCCCCAACACCACCATATTGCGCCATCAAAGGCCGAGATCACAGTTCGACTGGAGCCTCGACTCAGCCCGCAGGCTCCCTTGATTGCTGCGCCAACACTGCCAGCCTCGTCACCCTTCATCCTTTGATAACGAGGCCGGTGGTGTCCCAGGCGTCCCCCCTGCGGCAGGTTGCATGCGCGGTAGGCAAGAATTGCAGGAGCACTTGATGCGCAGGAAGTGCGACGGCAGCTGCAGTGGCAGCGCGGGCGCGGCGGCAGCGCCCGGCGCCGGCACCTTCAACACCGGCGCTCCTGCTGCCCGCTGCGTGCTGGCATCCAGAGAGTCCGTGTGTGGCAAGCTCCTCCAAAAAGGAGCGTTTCCGCATATCTGCACTTTGTGGGCTGGTATGCGGGTCTGCGAGAGGGCCTCAGGCTTGGTGTGATGGGCACAGGCAAGTCCGCATACAGTATGGTGAGTGCGGCCCCTTTGTGCTGGGGTGTGCGGTATGCGCCATGGAGATCATCTTGCGCTCCTGTTGCACGTTGCATCATATATCACCCCGTTCGCCCTGTGCTGCCACTCCTGCTGCTGTCGCTCTTGCTGACCTCGTCCTTTCCTAACACGACACGGCGGTCATCAGGGCAGCGCGGCGTGCGGCTTGGTCGTTCAAAGTATAAACGCCGCGGTAACCCTTCGTAGTCCAGCAGCCTGAAGCAACTTCACTGGGAGGGATCTTGCACCCTGATCTTGCTTGTGTCCACATCTCTGCAGGACTTCAGCAAAAAAACACAGGTGGGCATTCAGAACGCGTGGGCTGTCGAGTACCGTGGCGCAAGCCACGCAGTGACACGGCGTTCGGAGCAACGCCTCACATCCTGCTACACCACAGCCCAACAGACCCCTACACTGCTCTCGCGACATGCAGGCCAGCATGTCATCCGCCAACACACGGAAGCGTTCGCTGGTGAACGTTCTGGCCAGCGACGAGCCAACGCTCTGGATACAGCTCGCAGAGGACACCGCAGCCGACGGCGCCAGCTGCGACAGTGCAGCCGACGGCGCCGCTCCGGCGCCTGCGCCGCCGCAGCAGCCGCCGACACGCATCCCCGCGCATCGCGAGTTGCTGCGATTCAACTGCACCTGGATCCGTGACTTGCCGCCGGGGGACACTTGGGACATCAGCAGCCTGGTCATTGACGGCCAGCGGGTGACGCGGCCGATGTTGGTCGCCTGGCTCGGGGCCGTGTACGCTGGCTCGACCTACTGGGGCGACACCGGCGTCCCGCCGGCCGAGGAGGGCGAGGTGGACGGGGTCCTGCTGCTGCGGTTTGCTGACGCCGTGGGCAGCAGCATCCGCGTCGTGCGTGAGTGCTACGCGACTTGCAGGGAGCAGCTGGCCAGGTTGGAGGTGCTGGTGAATGGGGAGCGCACACGCTTGAAGCTGGACGGCAGATTCTACAACTTTCAGTTCCACAATCGCAGCTTGGCCCTCGTCGAAGGCACCTTCGTCATGAAGAGAGTGATTGCAGAGCTGCCCCTCAGAGATCCCGACGCGGACGCCGCTCAGGTCGATTATGATGTTGACAGGGCCGTGGCAGAGCTGCAGCGGAACCTGGCAGCTCAGCTGGAGCGGCTGCTGCACATCGCGTACAGCCTGGGGCTCGGAGAGCTGCAGGCGCGCGTTCACAACTTCATACACGCCAACGTGGAGATGCAGGTGGCAGAGGGCGAGGAGCTGCAGGGGCTGCTGCCCGTGGACTTGCTGCGGGATGCGGTGTATTCTGAGCGCGTCATGGCGGCGGTGGACAGGCGGACGCTTAAGGACGCGTTGCTGCAGTGCGTGCTGTGGGTGCCGTGCGACCTATCACGCGCGGACGGGCTGTTTGGAGACGCACCGAGCGCCACAGTCACAGTTGCGGGGGACGGCCGTGCCGCGGGTGGTGGCGCTGGCAACCAGGGTGGCGGCCAGGGCGCTGGCGGTGGCGGCCTCGAATTCGATGACCATGGGGTCGCGCAGCCCGCGTGGCGCCGCACCACCGTGGAGGGTGTGCTGCAGCATGACTATCACGGCACACACGCGGCCACAAGGCTCAATCTGCAGTTCAAGTTGGGGGAGGGGCGGTGCGACATACGCGATCCCCGCAGCCACCTCGATGGGAGAAATCTGCCTGCCACTATCATGCTGGGAATGCGCCTGAAACAGTGAATTTTCCTGGCACCAGGCTGATCTGAGTGCATCTGCCCCTTTACATGACTGCTCCACTTTGCCTGTGCTGCGCATGAGCTTGTGATTGAGCCGCTCACTATCGTGCGGCTGCCATAGGCCCGATGGACTTGCGCCGTATTTTATAAGTTGAGGAGTGCATCTTGGGCAGCTTGTTTACGATTTACATGCGACCTACCAATATTGATGCACACGCTCATAGTTTGACCCGTTGCTAGAATGGGAACGTCACCTGCATTTACGCTCATATCTGGATGCCTTAAGCAGCAGCGCCATGTCTCAGCCCAGAACCACTTCTATAGGGCCATGGCAAGAGCGTGCCCACGAGCATGATAAAACCGTAGACTTCGACCCAACTCAAGCATCTGGAAGTGTCTGCAATCCAAAGCACACACAGACGACTTGTGTGGGTGGTTCTCAGCTCAGCAACCAAAACAAGGATGCCCGCGATGCGCAATATGCTGACAGCACCTCGCCCAACCAGGCTGCACTGCACACATTGCATACTTGTCCGTTGTGTGCCGGGCGCCGGCGGCCATGCAGGTGAATCCGCCGTCGGCCGCATCCCCCGCCAAATAACGAGGCTCGCTGCTGATGTCCCAGGTGTAGGTCAGCGGCAGGCCTTGTATGCGGGTGGAAACAATCGCTGGAGGTCCCGATGCTCAGAGATGCGTGGCGGCAGCTGTAGTGGCCGCGCGGGCGCGGCGGCGGCGGCGTCATATGCGCCGTCTGCGTCGGCGCTCGTGGCGCTCCCTGTGAACGATGTCAACATACATGCGCGCGTCGCTGGCGAGCTCCCCCAGCAGCGAGGGCTTCCCCATTCCAAACGTGTCGGCTAAAATGTGGGCCTGCAATAGGGTGCATCAGGCTTGGTGCAATGGGCACCTGTGTCAAGTCCAAGTGCGCTAGGGCAGTACGGTATTGGATGTGGGGCGGCCCCACAAGGGCGCACCTGGCTGCCAGAGTATCATGCGCCGTGCAAAGCATATAGCTGTGGCGCTTGTGTGGCATCAAGGCACGTCCCAATGTGCTGCCATTCCTGTTTATTCCGCATGTTTTCGCGATTGCTGCACTCGCGTCATTTACTGGCGACACCACTCAGCTCAGCACACGGCTTGTCTGTTATGATATGTATTCACGATCAAAGAGCAGTTCCTCTTAATGATTCAGCATTGTGGAGCAACTGTACTGGGAGTGATTAGGCCGCCTGAGTGATCTGCCGCCTGATCTTGAATTTACAGGCTTATTTGCTCCACGTCTTTTCAGGACTCCAGCTGCGAAACACAGGTGAGCAGTCAAAACTTATTGGCTGTTGGTTACCGTGGCACAAGCCGTGCAGCGACGCAGTGATTGGAGTGCCGCACAGCGAGAGCGTGGCACAGCCCTGCACACCAGCCCCCGACCGACCCCTCATCACTCTCGCGTGCAGGACAGCATGTCATCCGCCAACACAAGGAAGCGCTCGCTGCTGGACGTCCTGGCTGACGACGAGCCAACGCTCTGGATACAGGTTGCAGACGGCACCACAGCAGACGGCGCCAGCAGCGACAGGGCTGGCGATAGCGCCGCTCCCGCGCCCGCGCCGCCGCAGCAGCCGCCGCCGCGCATCCCCGCGCACCGCGAGCTGCTGCGGTTTGACTCCACCTGCGTGCGCAACCTTCCGCCGGGGGACACTTGGGACATCAGCGGCCTGGTCATTGACGGCCAGCGGGTGACGCGGCCGGTGGTGGTGGCGTGGCTCGAGGCGGTTTACGCCGGCTCGACCTACTGGGGCGACACCGGCGTCCCGCCGGCCGAGGAGGGCGAGATTGACGGAGTCCTGCTGCTGCGGTTTGCTGACGCCGTGGGCAGCAGCATCCGCGTCGTGCGTGAGTGCTACGAGCGCTGCAGGGAGCAGCTGGCCAGCCTGGAGGTGCGGGTTCGTGGGGAGCCTGCACGCTTGAAGCTGGACGGCAGCTTCTATACTTTGCAGTCTAACTTTGACAGCTTAACCCTTGTCGAAGGCACCTTCGTCACGGAGACAGAAGTCGCAGAGCTGCCGCTTGGTGATGGCGCCGCCAACGCCGCTGCGGACGATTTTGACCTCGAGATTGAGGCCACGGCAGAGCTGCAGCAGAACCTGGCAGCTCAGCTGGAGCGGCTGCTGCACATCGCGTACAGCCTGGGGCTCAGAGAGCTGCAGTCGCGCCTTCACCACTTCATACACGCCAACGTGCAGATGCAGTCGGACGAGGGCGAGGCGCCGGAGGGGCTGCTGCCTGTGAGGTTGTTGCGAGATTCGGTGTTCTCTAAACGCGTCATGGCGGCGGTGGACAGCGGGCAGCTGAAAGATGCGTGGCTGCAGGGCATCCTTTCGGTGCCGTGCGACCTGTCACGTGCAGACGGGCTGTTTGGAGAAGCGACGAGCGCCACAATCATAGTTGCGGGGGCCAGCCGTGCCGCAGATGGTGGGGGCGGCAACCAGGGTGGCGCCCAGGACGCCGACGGCGGCGGCTATGTAATTGATGACCACGGGGTCGTGCAGCCGGTGCGGCTCGTCACCACTGTGGAGGGTGTGCTGCAGCGCGACTACCACGGCACACGTGCGGGCACAAGGATCAATCTGCGCTTCGTCTTGGGGGAGGGCCGGTGCGACATAAGTGACCCAGGCCGCAGCACCCACGATGGATATAATCTGCCGGCCACTATCATGCTGGGGCTGCGCCTGGACAAAGTTTGATCGCATCAGGCCAATAAAGTGCTTCGGCCCTTTCGCGCGGCGGCTCTCTTGCGTGTGCTGCGCGTGCTTGTTGTCGAGCTGCACACTATCATGCAGCCGCCCGAGACATGATGGTTTTTGCGCCGTATTCTGTTGGTTGTCCAGAGCTCCTTGCGCAGCTTGGTTGCAACCCACCAATCATACACAAGCCCATTATTTGACCCGTTCTCCGCACGAGAGAAGTGCATATCCCCTCATATATGGATGCCTCCAGCAAACACCACCATGCCCCAGCCCGGCACAACTTCTGTGAGGTGATGTGGAGAGCCTTGCATACTTGGGCATTTGAAATCACAGACTTCAACCCAGACCGAGCATAAGCAAATATCTGCGCTCCATACAGCCACAGCTTGCATGGATCGCAATCACTGGCCCAACAATGAAACAATTGAACGATCAACACAAGGGTGCATGCGGTATGCAATGTGCTCACAAAAATACGAAATGGACCACCGTGAGGTAACCTTGGATGTGTGATGCGCGGTGAAAAATACAGGGCAGTATGCTTCGCGCGGGGCTGCACTGCAGAGTTTGCACAGGGGTCCAGGCACACCGCTGCAACAGGCACGCACCCTCACGTGTCGGCGGTTTTTAAATGCATATGCACACATCATTCAGTCGATCAGAAACAATCACGCCTGCAATTGGGCGTTTCGGCGGTTGGCCTTGCTGACATTCGACACTGTGGTCAACGCCTGCTCGGTCCCGCACACCATATGACACGACATCTCGAATTTGAATGATCTCCACTTGAAAAATACTTGTGACACGGTGCGCGTCTCGTCGAATCACCTTGATTGTTGTCACTGCGCCCCAAACCGCTTCACCGTGCGCCATCTCCAGTCCATTCCATACACAAAATTGCAGGGTGCTGCCTGCTTTACTTATCAGCGGTGTCCAGTCTTCAGACATCAGACACGGGCAAGATCAAACGCCTACAATATGCGGGCCGCCGGCCTGCAGACCGGGCGTGGAGCGCTGCTTGCTCCGCGTTGTCTTGGTAAACAATTGGCGGTGCTGGCCTCTCGCCAGCGGCCATGCAAACTTTACGCCCAAGTGCCACCGCAGCCAGTGCTAGATGGCCTCCGTAAGCCTTGCAGCGGCCTGTTCGGATCCAGAAATGAGCCAAGCAAGGGCGTGGCATGCAGAGCGGCGGCAGCGGCTGCAGGTAGGAACGATGCACCGCCCGACCCCTCGGCCGCCGCGCCTGCTGCAATTGTATGTGCAAGCAGGACAGCGCACACCAGCGGTCGAGCGGCCCCACGACTGCCCCCTGCAGGCGGGGGCCAGCAAGAGGAGGGGCTGAAGCTGTCGTTCGGGCTGGCGCTCATGTTTGTGGGCTGGTACGGCGCCAACATCTACTTCAACATGTGAGAGGGGGGGATCACATGGGGCGCTGTTTGTACTTGATCAAGGCGCCTCGGACGCGTGTCTAGGGCTGCATGCGGTCGCTTGTGTGCTGAGCCTGCCGGCAGGGCGGCGGCGGCAGGCAGCAGCCACCCCTGCAATGGCCCAGAGGCGACCCAGGCGGGGCGGGGTGCAGCCTCCCTCGGATGGCAGCGCCCACGCCAGGGCGCACGCGCATGGGCAGGGCCATACCCATTATGGCTCAGCCGGCGCCGGCGTCGGGGCATGGGTGCTTGCATGGCGGCGCATGGATCCAGTCAGGACAGAATGCGCCATGCGATGGGGGCCCCTGGCGGCTGCATGGTGGTGCAGGCGCCCTCGCGAGGAGTTGTGGGGACGCACCTCTGCCACGGCGGCGAGGGTTGATTGGCAGCAGCAGAGCAAGCGCTGTCGTGGCGGAATCAGCGCGCCCGCGGCAGCAAAGCGTGCGCGGCTCGGCGCACAGCGCAATGGAGCCGGCGTGCGCGGCGGTTTCTGATGCACGCCTGACCTGCGGCGCCCTCTTCTGCCCGCAACATTGCTGACGCAGCGCCCAGAAGCAGGTGCTCAAGCAGTTCGCCTTCCCGTTGGCCTGCACCAACATCCAGGTGTGTGTGACCATGATGGTTGCAGTGATGCGTGGGGGGACGGAATTAGGGGTGATGTTGTGTGTGGTGCTGCGGTGGCATTGTTTTGGCAGGCTGGCCCAGTCGCATGGGCGTGCGCTCCAAGGCTGTTTGCAGCTGCCCCCATCAACAACGCGGCAGCTGCGAGGGCTTTTCACATCAAAAGCGACGCAGAAGCGCGAACCAGGGTGGTGCGGGTGGCGCTCGGCGATAGCTGTGGAAGCCACGCCTTTGGCCGCACACCGCCTGACCTGGGCCCCTCCCAACCCCCGCCGCCTGGCCCCCTCCGCCGCGCCCACGCCAGTTCGCCATCGGCAGCTGCCTCGCGCTGCTGTTCTGGGCCACGGGCGTCGTGCGGGCCCCCAGGGTGGACGCGCAGACGGTGAGGGGCCCGCTTCACCCCCCCCCCCCCCCC